CCTGGCTGCCCTATGGGTATTAGTGGTGCTATATCGTAATGTCGTTCTACAATAATTCTCCCCGCACGTCACTAGTCGTTGCTCGAAGTGTCGTGTAAATATCAGTGCTCTGTGTGTTGTCCACAAGAAAAATAAGATACTAATTTATTTCGTAACTTACAAGGGAAGGCACGGAAATGTTCCCCTCCGATTTCGAAGAAACTTCGTATGTCTGTTAAGCAATCAAAAATAAGGGATACGTATTTTTTTTATCGGTTGAGATGCGACTTTAAGGGGTGAAACCACCCTTCGAAGTTTCAATCCGAAAGTACTACCTCGAAAACCAGCGGAGATACATGAAAACTTCTAATGGACGAGATTTGCAGTTTTTTTTATGTAAAATAATATGGTGCTACCAAATTGTCCAAAATATAATTTGTTTATAACAAAAAAATTTCGGATCGAAACTTCGAGGGGTGGTTTCACCCCTTAAAGTCGCTTCCCAGCCGATAAAAAAAATACGTATCCCTTATTTTTGACTGTTTAGCAGACATACAAAGTTCCATCAAAATCGGAGGGGGACACTTCCCTGCCTTCGTTGTTATATGGTAACATTGGGAACGAAAGGGTTAAAATCGACGTGTTACATTTGAGTGATGTTCCTTGTTAATTAAAAGTTTGTTTCTTCTTCACAGATTTCCTTGTATCACTGAAAATAACGAAGCTATTTCGGATGGTTGCGTCAGCCAGAACACTCCAGAATGACGCGTTCGATGTACTATCTATGGCCGATGACATTTCACCGCGTTATTGTTCCGCGAAGTTGAATATTCCATGGCGATCGAGCGCGCGTAATCGGCCCCGCCGCCGATAAGCACGCGACGCCTGATTCGATTAATATCCGGCGTTCGTGTTACAATTTACTCGCCGGTAAATTTCGTTTAATCGCGGAATCACGGCGCGCTGCGACCGCTTCATTCGAACGAGCGCCGTCGGTTCCAATGAAACGGTCCCGACCTTATGCTTTCACACGGGGCAATTACACGGTCGCCGGTGAGAAGAAAAAAACGTCATCGATATCGAGCTCGACCGGCGACGTTTATACAGGGTGGTCCACGCAACTTCTTCACCTTGAATAACTTCTAAAGTATTCATTGTATGAAAAAATGTTTTACAGAAAAGTTGTATGGTTTGGAAAGATACATTATGCAATTCACATATTTTTTTTGTAAGTGAAGGCGTTTCGGAGATTTGAAGGATCGGATAATGAAAACCGCGTTCAATTTTGCCAGTGGCTCTTGCATCAAATGCACAAGGATGATATTTTTTTTTTTTCAAAAATTGTTATTTATCGACAAGGCGATTTTGAGTTTTATCACAGACGAGATACAAGAATAGACCTAACATCTTATGGGACTTGGTGTCCCACGAAAATCACGCTGGTTCGAGCGCACCTCTCCATGAAAGTTTTCGATTTCAGGAACTACGTTCGACGCCGTGATAACGCACAGCACATACACACCCGTGACTTTCGCTAGCAAGGAATGTGTTACTGATATTTTACAGGGACTTCTGACGCCTCCGAAACATGGGACAAAAAATTACATTGCATGTTAGGTCTATTCTTATATTTTGTCTGTGGTTTTACATTGGTCGAGAAGTAGGTTATTTTAAGAAACTGAGATAAATCTAGCTCGGTTATATAAAGGGTTAAAGAATTCTGACCCGTAAGATTTGACTACTAATCGTGTTGCCTCTCTCGGCAGAAAGAGGCTACAGCATTCCCAATCGAATTTTGGGGACACGAGGATCGCACAATGCGCATATTTGATTAGTTCAAGCATAGCCCGATTGAACTGGTCCCCAACGTACATTAGAGAACGCACTCACCTATGATACAAATCGGTTTCCGTATGAATCGCAGCCTGCCACAGCAGCCCATGTACTTTGATCTGCAGCCTGCGCTCCATAATCGTACCAGGTACTCCACACCGAAGAATACCACCAAACATATTTCCTGCGCATAAACAAAACAGCACAAACATTTACGTATTATATTCTGTAATACATTCAACCTCTGAAACATATAAACCAAGAGATTGTCCCCATATAAACCACTTAAGGTGGCTCACGCCAATTTTTAATAATTATAAATTTAGTTGAAAATTTAACAGAAGATTCTTAAAAGCATCAATTTTCAATAGCTACCAAAAAATCGCAAGGTCAGTGATAAAATTATTGAAAAAGAAACGTTATAAAAATTTCTTTTTAACACGAGCCTTATGGAACTGTAGTTGACAGCATTCCCCTCCAATTTTGATGAAACTTTGTATGTCTGTTAAGCAGTCAAAAATAGGGGATACGTATTTTTTTTTATCGGCTTGAGACGCGATTTTAAGGGGTGAAACCACCCCTCGAAGTTTCGACCTGGAAGTACTATCTCGAAAACCAGAGGAGATACATGAAAACTTCTAATGGACGAGGTTTGCGGTTTTTTATGTAGAATAATATAGTGGTAACAAATTGTCCAAAATATAATTTGTTTACAACAAAATAATTAAAGGTTTTTTAAATGCTGTATGCATGTATAAATATTCTACAATAAAAACCCATTTTTGTGCCGAAACATCATCGATCGATTTTCTTTAACTTTCGTTGCAACATAAAAATGAAGAAATTAGAAAACTTATAATATTTCCAAAAATTTGTTACGTGTATCAATCCGATAAAAAGAGATACATACGTTTATCGACGGTAGTTCTAGTGTTAAGCGCTGGAAAACAATTCCGGTCATAAAGTCAGATCGACGCGACGGGCATTAAAACGCAATGCCTAGAACGTGAATAAACAAATCAATAACGTCAAATGTCGGCGGGTATAAGGGTGAACGCAAAAAAGAAATTGCCTCCACGAGCCGATAATTATAATAGCAGGAAAAGCATTCCCATGATGACTTTCTATGCTAGGATGGTCATTAATTCCCAGTTCTTAAAATAAATGTGCAACGAACACGACGATATATAGAGATGCTATATCGATTGTCTGACCTTTATTGTAACGCTACGACGCCCTGGAGAAACGGGAACATCGATGACAGAATCGCGATGTTTGGGAGTTCCGTGCAACGTTAGACTATGCTAATTCCGATGATTAAACGGTTTTAAAAATTCGAGAAGATTTGGAGAAATTCGTGAGAAAGTATTAAATTCATAATGCATGGCACTGAAATATTATGATCTTATATTTTCGTGGTATTCAGTGAATACCAATAGAACTGTGCAGCAAATGGTTTCATGCACAGGGATAAATAAAAAATTAGGGAATAGAATTTATTTCATATGAAGCTTCATTCACGAGAAAATTGAGGTTCCAGGCATATATTCGGTGTAATGGAAAATTCTGTCATTTTTGACGAAAGTCACGAGAACATTTTTTAATAGGATTATCTTCTATATTTTTGTTGTCGACAGTCCCTCTGCAGGCTTCAACAATAATCGGTCATTATGCGCTTACTTTGGAAATCACTAGATAACCCGAAAGTAAAACAATTTCACAAGATACTTCTGTGAATAGGATGGGTAACAAAAAACCAAAGTAGTAAGTACATCAAATCGACACAAGCGTTGTTGCGATTATTTTGAAAATCTCTAATTCATGACTATGTAGTACTCTGAAACCGATCTTATATCCCTGACAACATGAAACATTTTTTTTTATTCCCCAGTGTTATGTAAACAATAATTCACCGTTACACATAACTAGTACATTTCGTCGAGATTTTCTTTCCACAATACATTTCCCAATAATATAGCTGCTATCGCAGAGGGGTTCGTTGATCAAGAAAGATTAAAAAGATATGCCCTCCCCCTCTCCACCGCCCCCGCAAAAAAAGGCACCTCTGCATTGGATAGTTCCCAGATTACTATTTTTAGAACGTCACGTAGAAGAAAGCCAGCAGGAAGCCAGGGAGGGCGTATCATTAGGGCGAAGTTGCCAACCTGTCAAACCCCATAATGCGCCCGTAGAAAGCTTTCCAGGGTGTATACACGAGGTACATAAACAGGACCCATAGTGGACGAGGGAAAGCATACACGGAAGACCTGTCAGAAAGGGTGGCCACGTACAGACGATTGAACGGTCCCCCTTCGCAAGCTCCCTATATTTCCTCATATTTTTCATTTCCCGATATGTATGTAATACTGCCGTGAACCCACGTGATGTGCGTGCCGCGAGATGCAATAAGCTTTGGAAGCTTGACAAAATTTTCAATAACCTGGAAAAAACGTTCCGTGACGTCCAGGATGGTAATAAAACTGTAGAACCACTTTCGCAGGGTGAATTTCACATATCAAACTAACAATAAGAAGAAAATCAAAAATAAGGAAATTGTTGTCCTTTTTAAATATACAGGGTTGAGAAAAATAAATGACTCGAAGAGCACTACATCTGTAGGCCCTTAGATTTTTTTTCAGTGCAACAATGTATGTGCAATTAACAATTGCATCATTTCTTTAAATGGAAATGCTTTAAAATGTTAAATGAAAATCTTAAAATTTAGAAATGGGTACCTGGGTACCCGGGTATCCAGTTTCCTACAAAGGGTTGAACGAGATCATCGAAATATCTCCTGTCGTTACGTCCTCAGGACAAGTCTACTCTAGTAGTCTACTCTATAGATAGCGTCTTGCAACAAATTGTACGCACAAATTGTAGTCGAGATGTTAACGTGTTTCATCGTACTTAAAGCATAATTTCACCTGATCGATCTTTCAGCGTGTATAGCTTGAAACGTAAATGCTTGTTAATGTAACGTAAGTACTTGCATTTTATATACAGGGTGTCCCGGCAGGTGTATTTCCCGCGTACTTTTTCCATATTTTCAGCAATTAATAACTCGAAAACTAAATCTTTTAGAAAGACACAGTCTCCATCGGAATCTGAAACGAAATTTTATGAAGCTCACATCGAAATTCGACTGAAAACTTTCAACTGTACAGGCAAGTAAGAATGTTAGCTAGTTTAATCTCAATTCATCCTCCATTTTAATATACTCTAATTAACCTTTAAACATTTAACTAACGAAATAAATTAGCAAAATCGACAATTTATATGCGTTAATCTGCCAGTAATTTATTTCAGTTTCATTAGATGAGATAGGCTAAATATGTTTCGATACGATTGAATGTTAAATATAAAATTGTAATTGTATGGAGGAGAAATACCTGTTTTCTCGGTGTTATAATTATTATCGAAGTGAATTTGTACTCGCAGAAAGTTATTACGTTGACTCGTCCGCTCGGTACTCATTATACGAAGAGCTTAATAACTGTGCACAAATGTTTTCCTATACGGTTTTTACTAATATTTTCCATCTCGTATATCAAACACACCAATCTCGCATTCAGTCCCCGTCAATTTCCACGAATGTTTTTAAGCTCATTTTTAAGCTTCATTTACTCGGCATTTCTTTTAAATTGCGTTAAAGGGAGACTTTCGCTTGCATGATTATACCTCGTTTTCAAGGATTTCAATTTCAAGAAAAGCGTCCGGAAATAACAGTCCCCTAACCGCTGGCTTTCGTTGGAATAACCATTCTCTTGGTAAAGACACGAAAAGACTGAAAAGTGTTCCTAAAAGTTGCAAGAAGCATAAACGTTTTTGTGCCTAGTCACCGGAAACGTTCAGTGAAAAGAAGCGAATAGAACGCAATTTCGTTTGAGGACTTCGTTAAAGTTGGAAGAGTTGAATAGAACTTTTAACGGAAATCCAAGGTATCAGATAAAGGTGATCGTAACTCTCGAATTGTTCAATGGAAATCTCAGATAAGGGTGATCGTAATTTTCGAATTTGAGATTGGCCAGCGATGAACAGCACCTTTATACTCGAGAATTTTATTAGATCGATGAAATTTCTGTGTCGTATTTGTAAGATGCGATCATGAAACGAAGATTCATGATGTCGAACTAATTGCTACCAATCAAAGTATTAGTAAGATAAATGAGTTACCGCGATGAAATTTAGATGGTGTAGCATTTATGGTTGGCCAACGGTATCCAACAGTTGGGAGTTAGTTGAGATATTTTAGTTAGTGTTTTTGCCTACAAATTCCCAAAATAGGGCCTACGACGAAAAGTTATGACAATTTACCAACGAATATCCAACGTTGGCCCTACCATTATTACAGTTGGTTAATTAACATGAAATTTACAACGATAATATAACATTGACCTAACCAAAGTTTTCCAACTTACAACCAAAAACTTGTTATTATATTAAAAATTGATTTTTTTGTATTCTTATTTATGAATATACTTAATTTGTTAGCGTCAAAGTATTTCAAGTGGAATCGAAGGAGAATGATTTGGCGCTATTTGGTCTTCGAAGGATTTATAGTAGGGACTTAGGCTTTGTGCAGTCGTAGAAGGAAGGGCATTCGACTGAACATCCCTGAGTCTTACGACGGCTGAGGACCACGTTGAGTCCTTCAGCTAACAGTTGTCGTAGGTTCGTTTACGAGAAACAGATGAGGGAAAGTTAGGGATGACAAGCAGCTCGACGTTGCATTGCCCCAATGCAGTTCTCTGATACACGTATTTGAAATGAAGTAAAACTAAAAAATTGATCGATGATGTTATTGTCTTAAAGGACGAAGCATTTGTTTACTGCGTCCTCCGAATGTTGCTTGAGCGATGACAAAAAGTGGTAGATTATGAAGAAAAATTTTGTGATTGACATTATTGTACCACTCCGTTCAAATTAATGAACACATTTTGTAAAGAAATCGTGTGAAGTTAGTTATATGCCTAATAGTTATTAGCTATAAAATAATAATGTAATATGAGAAGGGCATACTCACCATCCAAAACAGCGTTTCGTTCGCGAAATTACTGTACTGGTCTATGGTTGACAAAACACTAAATATGAGGCACACCAATACCACCATGAACCTGAAAACAAATTTCTTGATTAACATACATTTGGTTTACATTGACCTGAAAGTAAATATAATTTAACCACTTGGAGCTCGATGATGTGCCATGACGTCGAATTATTTTATTCAGCAAGAAAGTAGTTAACAATTATCCCATTACACAGTTGGAATGTAGAGGTATCGAAGATTGTTTATTACACCATTATTGTAAAATAACTAATTCCATACAATTTTATTTCATTACTGTATTGGTTTAAATGTCATTTTTATGGGCATTTGGTAATTCGAAGAGATTTCCGCGGGAAACCAGACGGTTTCCGACGGGGACTCACTGTCATAAATTTGGAGTTCGCTCTACAGATATAGTTGCGAAAATATACCCAACGGGGGTAAGAGTGACACTCGAATATTCTAAAGATGAAAAGACTTCGACGATCGAGGACACCGGTTAATCCTGACCTGCATTTTCTCGCGAATCATCGTCATTGGAAATTCATGAGAAGACCGCGCGTCGCGTTACTTTCGACACCGCGTTCATTATCAGGCAATAACGGACCGGGGTCACGGGAAAGGAACTTATTTATAAACACAGGAAATTATATGCATGTATTACCGTTCCTCGATCTAGGACGTCCGCAACACCTACTTACGAGGTTTTGCAATTCATGCGGCCCTTCGATGAAAAAATACACGATTGACAACACGGTTTTTTTTAGCGAAACCTTTCGGGCCCGATCGAACATTTGCCGGTGCGATACAATTATCCACGATGAATCGTTTTGCGCAACTGTACAGGATACTCCACACGATTGAACTATATGCAGGGTGTACCAAAATATTCTTGGGATGATTTGAAGCAACTTTTTCCTTAGCAAAAATGTTGTCTGAGGCTTGGTTAACGAGATATTAACGAAAAAATCCCGACCAATCGGAGAGTGAATCTTCCGGTCGAACTTCCGCGGTAGCGTTGGGTACCAATCGCAGCGCGTAGTCACAGTGACCTGTGACCTCTAACAATTCTTTTCTGATGCTTCGGTGTACTCAGATTACGGAAGAGCCATTTCCAGGAGGACCGAACTTTGCAATCACGTAATTAATCCTGTCTCAAAATTAGGTAAATAGATCTAGTCCGTAGTATGTGTGTCTTAAGATAACCGTAAGTACACTACTAAGATAGCTGCACCCTAAACTATGGTAATTAACACGACGAAATGTAATCATGTTAGTATACCTTATACATATTTGTTGAACGTTCATGCAACGTCTCTGATATGTGGCTCTTGTAAATCAGAGTACCTTCGACAGTCAATTCAAAAACAAAGATTTTTCCCGAACTATCAAAATGTTTCAGATAATTCAGAAACTACTCCAAGTATTCTAATCAAATTGACGTAAGAAATGTACGATCCCGCCTAATTAGGACACTCATCTAATATGAAATAAACTTGAGGAATCGTTAAAAAATTGTTTACGCTGTTGTATACATATATTTTCGGGAATATTAATACTTAACAGTCAATATTTATCCCAGTATAATATCACAAAGGTGGAGTAAAATATGTAAACACCTGCGGCGTACAAGAATCTGCAATGGAGAATTTAAGAGACAAAGATTTCGAGAATTCCACTCGCTTTAGTGAAATACTGTAACTCGATTTAGAGTTAATCTCTTGCGCAACGTCAAGTCGCCTCGTTGCAGCTCAACACGGATTAAAGTTAAGGGTAGAAAGCGACGCGGCAATTAGAACACAGTGCCTTTGACAGAATTAAAAGTTCGAACACTGTTCCGTCAAATTGCTGGGACTAATTTCATGAGAACCGAAAGAATTCCAATTTCCTGTGCAACTGCAGAGAGCAACGATCTAATTCTGAAGTGGAGGGAAAAGAAAGGCAGACGTACGGTTTACCGAACCGGGATTAGAGCCCCCCGCTTTGCCACCCAATTGCTCTCCGCCGATTGGATTAGGGGAAATCTTGCTACCCAGGTCCTATATTCAAGTGGTTGATGGTTGCAACAGTAACGTAATGCAAATTGAATCTATATACTTTATCCTTTAATTATTTTACTAACTTTCACAATGAACAACCTGAATAAAAGAATTAAACGGTAATAAATGACCTTGAACGACCTTGAGAAATCAACATCTTTAGGTCAATGAATTCGTCAAGGAGCAGGATACATATCTGCCTAAATGAAAGTGTATATGTTCATTTGAAAAAACAAAGGTCAACTTGAAATCTCTGTAGAACGACGAAAGTTCGACCATAACCTTAAAACTCTCGCTACCGAGTGTAACGAAGGATTAAATAGACGCGTATCGACGGTAATCGGTGTAGTTGAGGACCCGAGGGCGGCGAATTAAAACGCAACCGCCGGCATTTCCATATCAGTTGGATAAGGTTTGACGCGGTGTTAACATTCGGAACAAGCAACGGTTGATTTCGGGTATGCACCGAGAGCGCGGGAATCACTGGAGGATATCCAAAACGGGACGGTAATTGCCGCGGCGCGCAGCGGATTCCGTCCGTCTTGTATAAGTAATTTATTAGCAAGCGATACCTCGTTAAGTAACGACGAGCACCGCGTTAACGAAGTCGGTTTCACCGTGGTACACGCTTTAAGATGGCGTGTTGGGGGACGATAATTCCGGCGTACAGCCACCCCAACCACCCTCCCTCTGTCCGCTCGCTGGGCCAACCTAGCTTAGCGGGTCACCTTCATCGACCTACTATGATAATTGTCCACATGCGGCCACCTTTTTTCGCTTTTTCCATCGGTGCACGAAGCGTCTTCCTGTATTAATTGCTCGCCGAGCATCGATTCCTCTCTATTTTTATACGAGCACCACCGGAAATTTCGTTACATAAGAGAGAACTTATAGGTTACCGCATTTTAATCGAGCCAAGCGAATATCGTTGGAACTGTTGACGATGAAGTGTCGAGAAATATTTCTGAAATTATATTATTTGAAATATTATTTCAAATAACATGTCATTTTATTTCATGATTACTTCTATGCCTGTGAACACGTCTGTAATAACATTATTTGGATATTATTTCAAATAACATGTTATTTTATTTTCTAATCATTTGAAATAATTTTTAGAAATAATTGTGAAATTGTTCTTTGAAATTATATCGGATGACTAGGTCTCGAGTTTGGTTTATTGACATTTTTCTGAAGAGTAACACTCCTCTTACATCTTCCACACTAGTGGAACCGTGATTTCTTACGCAAAATTAATTCTAAGATGTAAAACGAAGTTTGTTAATTTCAATCTTTGATACTGAAATGTTTATTCCATATTTTCGATTTATTTTTGTACAATAAGATCGTTCCATTTTTAATGCACGACCAATTTGAAATACACGATAAACCAATTCTCCGAACAACTGTTAAGTTAGTATTGAGAAACACGTTTATTTTACAAATCACGCTTGATTAAGAGAGGTACAACGAATGAATGGTTTGCTTACACGAGGAGGAGATTCAAACGCACCCTCTACCAATGTCCCGAAATTAATTCGGCCAGCACGGTTGATTAGACCTTTTAGACCCGCATGATTTATGCATTTCTCATTACGTGCAGCTCCCAGCCGGATTATTAGAAATTATATCCCCGGCAATTAGACTGCAGATGAACGAACGTGCAATTGCGATATAATCGACGATTATTCTCGCAAAACAAGATAACTGAATCTGCATTATTATGTCCTCCGACAGTAAGTATCGACAAAGAAATGGCTGTGGTTATAACTAGATTCTTTAACAAATTTTGACTTTTTTTCGTTTTTGTAACATACAATAGGCGTTCTTGATAGATTTTTATGAGCTACATACGAATATGCAAATCCTTTCTCTCCAGCACGTCGACTTTTTGAAGAAATCAACAGTCAAGTTATCATTATTGTATTCAATGACACCGCATGCTTGATTATTATTCACAACCCCTTTTTACGAAAACGAAGTTTCATATAAAAAAAATTTCTTATAACATTTACGATTTATTTTTACGCAAGATATCAGTTCATTAAAACCAAATAAGACTTGATAACTAATTAGACTTCTTGACTTTAAGAAACATTGAATTTTGGAAACCGTCATTTTTAGAATAGATCTTGTATAATGTGCTGACAATATGATACAGAAATCATAGGATAATTATAATACAAAAATGCCAAGTCGATTAAGAAAACAGTTCCCCACGGTGTGAAAAAAGACTGATATGTAACAGTTTAAGAATTACTCGTGAAAGCTAGCGTATATTGTTAGTCTGTTTCTGACATGGAGCGTTGATAGACTCTTCATCGTGGAGGATGGCTGAAGGGTCCTCGTGAGTTTATCCCTTGTTGGTCGAGCACTCCATCGAGTGGCGTGCGACCAACGTACATTACGAACGGCACTTCCCACATTTATGATTCTTCAAACAGGATTTGTCATCGTAAAGCGGTCGGTGTATTTAACATTATGTACTCGAGTACAAAAAGTATTCCACGACAAACGCCACTTGAATTACCGACCAAACGATTGACTTTACAAGGAAATACCGTGGGGAAAATTTACACTGTACAAATTCTATTGGTATTAAGCCATTGTGAAGCCCAAAAAAGTATCATTTTTTCGGAATAAAAGTCGAAATGCAAAAAAGCAAATAATTTGACATAAGAGAACTAATACGTTGACTGCCACAGTGAAAAAGGTCATACATATATGCATTTCGTTAATAGAAGCTGTTGGTCTTGCTTCAAATTATACTGCGATATTAATTGTACGCAAAATTTTGTCACGGTATTTAAATAATCCTGTCTCTCTGCAATATAAGTACACACACCCATATTTGGGTGACGTGGCAGTCAAAATGTGAATAATGCTGACATAGTAGAATTACAGACTATTTGAGAAATTACTTAAATAAATATTTGATCGAGTAAAAAGTGAAATAAAAAGTTATTTCATTCGAACTCTGAATACAGTAATCTCTCGATGAGTGCGACAAGTTCGGGTCCGCTTCGGA